ATCAGGTTTTAAGAGACTGAAGTCAGTCTAATATTGTCATTGAGGTTCACAGCAGAGGTACGCTGTTAGGATTTTCCCACTACTCTTGAAAAAGGCATGTTTACTAACAAATCAAATATAGGTACTATTTTTTTCCTTATTTTTGTCTCGTTTTCAGGCTGTTACTCTGATGAACACTTAACCCACGACAGTTGCTCCATTGCTCCTTTCAGAAGAATGGGAGCTAGTAAAAACCCGGACCCATGGTTAAATGACACTACCCGTGCCCTGCGGAGACGTAGACAGGCGGAGCATAAATGGAGGAAGGATGGCCTGCACGTCTCTTTGGACATTTTAAGGGACAGTCTAGTCTCCTATCAGAAAGCTGTAAAAGATGCTAAAACTCAATATCTTTCAAATATTATTTCAAAAAGCAGTCACTGTCCCAGAGTTCTTTTCAGTACCATCAACTCAGTTATAAATCCTGTTACTGCTCTGGCCACTGAGGGGTCGGTCCAAACCTGTAATAAGTTTCAAAAGTATTTCATTGACAAAGTCTGTGATATCAGACAAAGTATTCCCAAGTTCCCATTTTCTGTACCACCGGTTCCTCTTGTACTTTACACTATGGAAACCTTCATTTTAATCTCTCTGCCTCAACTTAAAAAAATATGTGGTGCAATTAAAGACTGCCTCCTCCTCCATGGATCCTGTCCCAGCCAGGATAATGAAGGAGGTAATTGACGCTGTGGGCCCTCGCTGGTCACGTTTTTAAATTGCTGCTTAAGGCTGGGCACGATCCCCACTGCCCTTAAGCATGCTATAGTGAGACCGCTCCTGAAGAAACCGAACCTGGATCCTTCTCTGCCGTCTAATTTTCGCCCAGTTTCTCTTTTGCCTTTTCTATCTAAGGTTATGGAAAAAATAGTTCTGACCCAGTTGCAGTCCCATCGGGATCGGCAAGATTTATCGGCAGCCTCTGACACAGTCGAACATGCAATTTTGCTCTCCCAGCTGGAACACAGGATTGGCTTGAGAGGCGCAGTTCTAAAATGGCTCACTTCTTACCCGACAAATAGGACCTTCTCTGTGATGATTGGCAATTTCTCCTCCACCATAGCTCCTCTCACCTTGGGCGTTCCCCAAAGCTCGATTTTGGCCCTGCTACTATTTTCTTTGTATATGTCTCCACTTGGTTCAGTCATATCAAGGCACAATGTTCATTTTCATTTTTATGCCGATGACATTCAGATTTATGTGCCACTGATACTGAGCGACAGTGTTGCACTTATCCTGCTGCAAAATTGTATACGTGACATAAAACTCTGGCTATCGCAAAATGTTCTGCACTTAAATGAGGACAAGACAGAATACATCGTTTTCAGCCCAGACTCCACTGCTGTGGTACCTAGTTTAGGTGCCCTAGCACCTGCATGCACTGGCGCTGTGAGGAACCTTACAGTCATTTTTGAGTGATTTTAACTTTGATAAGCAGATCAGATCCGTGGTTAAAACCAGTTTTTATCATTTGAGGCTCTTAATGAAGGTGGAGCCTTTTTTTATCATATGCCAATTTAGAAAAAGCCATCCATGCCTTCATTACCTCGCGTCTTGACTATTGTAATGCCCTCTGTGTTGGAATCTCTCAGTCTCTTTTGCGGAAGGTACAGCTAGCTGAAAATGCTGCGGCTCAACTGTTGTCAAATACTCCTAAGTTTGCCCATATCACCCCCGTGCTTCGCTCACTACATTGGCTGCCAATACAGTATAGAATTTCAAAACATTACTGTTTGTTTTTAAGGCCATAAATGGCCTTGCTCTGCCATACATATCGGATCTTCTCTCCATCTATGTGCCACGCAGAACCCTGCGCTCCTCAGAACACCTGTCCCTGGTTGTTCCTCAGGCTAGGTACAAAAAAATGGGGAGAACACTCTTTTGCCGTGTATGGCCTCAGGCTTTGGAACTCTCTACTGCCAGAGCTTCGGGCTGAAACTGAGCTGGCGGCTTTTAAGTCAATTCTAAAAACCCAACCCAAACCCAAGCAGGCCTTTGGTATTTAGCTCGTGTTACTCTTAACTTGTTTTCAACTCGTTCCCTGTTGTTTTATGCTGTTTCTTGGATAGGGATGTCTTTTATTTTAGGGTTTTTAATACTTTGTAGTTTGTTTTGTATAGGTTTTTGTTTTAGTATTGTCTTGTATTAGTGTCCTTTTGTGAAGCACTTTGGGCTCCTGCTGAGTTGTAAAGGGCTATATAAATAAACTACTACATTATTATTATTATTAGTATGATTGGACAATAACCCTCAGTGCAATACCTGTAAATATATACATTGTACAGATTATACAGACTCGTACAGGTCTCTAGTACTGTTTTAAGTACTCTATTTTTATCTCTAATTATCTCATTTCAATGAACATTCCTTGTTGTCTGCATTGTTTACTGTCTGTTTATACTGCTTATTCTGCATTGTTTGCGCCGATTGTTGATGTTAATACTGCTATTTTGTTATACCTGAGGGTAACAGGTAAAATAGCTAATATATACATAAACATTGAGAGCCGCTGTACTAGAGTCAAATTCCTCGTGTGTCCCACACACCTGGCCAATAAAGCTGATTCTGATTCTAATGCACATTCCTCCCTTACTTTGCTCTCTCAGCCTTATATTGTTATACTATACAGCCTTATATTGGCATATTGTTTACTTGCCCTTTGCTCTTGCCTTACATAAGGATATTACATAAGCACCGAGAGCCACTGTAGCAGTCAAATTCCTTGTGTCTAACATGCCTGGCCAATAAAGCTGATTCTGAAAACTGCAAACTTTTACTGCAGACAAAGCGGATGTAATGAGACCCATTTTCTGGTTTGGTCATGTGATGTTCAACATAAACCCCATTGCTATCCATTTTATAATGTGCAATTTGGCGCCTTTACCAAGGGATCAGTGAGGGCTTTCTTATATCCATAATACATCTTTAAAAAGTACTGTACAGTACTTCAGTCTGAAGTGTAGTAAATAGAAGGATAACTTATCAGAGAATTGACATACTCAAAGTACAAGAATCTCACAACTGTACTTAAATACAGTACTTGAGTAAATGGATATGCTTTTCATATTTTGCCTCCTTCACACAGAATCACAGACGGCAGCGAGCTGGCAGTCAAGGTGTGGGGCGATGAGGAGTCATCTGGGGTTAATCTCGGCCATTATGATGCAGTGTGTTTAGACAAAGTCACCACACCCCCTTGTGACAAATTTGTGACATTTTATGTAACTAAAACTGACCTAACCTGACACCGACGCCTACAGCTGATGCAAGGATGCTGTAATGAGTGTCATTAGTGTTCTCTGCTGTGGCCACCTCCCATGTGTGTCCGGCGCAGGCCTGACTACAGCTACTCTGCAAACAGCTAATTACGACCCAGTGGTCGCAGCGAGTGGGCCTCATGGGACATTCCTCTTAGTAAATACCTTTTACCAATGTAATCAGACTGAACTGTCACAGTGACTCAAACTTATTACAAGCACTCTTAATGACTGTGGCTCTTGGCACCAGAGAATTGTTACCGATTCCCACAGTAATTATGTCAGAGGTGGTCAACAGGTCATTATGTCCATTGAGAGCAATTAAACACAGCTCCAACAACAAAGTTTACCCAGTACACTCCAGCAACACCAATTATCCTGAATAATGATAGTGTTTTTCTCATGGTGGCCATCTTGTTCTCTCACAAAGTTAGAGAGCAACTTGTGGCTCATTAAAACTTTTTGACTTAACTTTTACCTCTTTTCCTTGGCTGTTGCTGTCAATCTGCGAGTTAAAGAAAGTTAATTTGACTCATTTTGAAAGGGAAGGTATTGCCTTTCCTTAGTTACGTTACTGTTGGTGGTCATGCAACTACCTCTGCTGAATCTAACAGGGGCCTCAGCCTGTTTGGGGGTGTGGTATGCAGGCTCCACAGCTGAACACAAACAAGCTGTGCAGAAGGCTATAAACACCACCAAATAAATAAATCACTGGCAGCCCACTTCCCTCCCTGGATGACATAACTAGATCCCACTGCCACAGGAAAATTAAGGCAGTCATAGGGGATCCCCATCACGTTTGACCTGTTGCCTTCTGGAAGGCACTCCAGGTCAATCGAGTCTCATACCACGAGACTAAAATAGTTTCTTCCCCTCGGCCATTCGGATCGCTAACAATCACTGACACTTACCCCAACACATACTTAAGTACATGTTTCCATGACCATGGACTCTTTACTTTCTACCTCGGTACACTGTACACACATTAGATTTTAGGCCTGTCAGTATGTAAGACTATATACATTTATATACACAACGTGCTCAGTGTATATTTTATCACATCTTATCGTAATGTTCTATTGCTTATTTGATTTTACTCTTTTGAAATTAATTGTATTTTGAAGTGCAGTTGTTGGCAGAGCACACACAATTTCATTGTGCTCCTATTGTGAAATGACAAAGTAATTTATTCTCAAAAAAAGAATCCATCTTTCTTAAATTTTGAAACTTCATATTGCCAATCTCACCTTTGTCTGTGGCATTCTGAATGACCACACCAAGCCTTTTCCAAAGCTCAAGTCCTACATTACTGAAGGCTGGAAGGGTGCGTTTGATTTAGGTAACTCGACATGCTCCGTGGGCGCTGCAAATGCAGCTATGACCGACGAGGACGTAAAATTGCGACAACTTAAATGGCGGCATGTAATTAGTCCCTCAGCTGACTTAGCTGCTGTACATTGTGGATTTACATTATTTGCGACTTCACCAGTCAGAGCCAACCCGGGACCCGAAGGGGTGTGGACGCAGGGGCAGTCACACTCCTCGCATCCCCGATGCTCTGCCAGGAGTTTCAATGTACAATGCCACACACTTTGCCATTCTTTGCTTTTCCACTGCTCATAAATTTGTCTTAAACTTTACATTTAAATTTAAAATATTTAGCTAAAATATTTCATTTTCAAAATCACTCACAAAATGAACATTTGATAAAAATGAAAAAGCTGGAATGAGTAACTTTATTAAAATAAGTCACTGAAATAGGCAAAACTCAATACTGATATCACCAAACAAAAATACCTGTTTTAAATCAGTCCATCTTTAAAGATTTCATGGAGAACAGTCCATTGGTATGGAAATTTAGAAGAAGTCTGCAGCTGAAGGTCGTCGTCTAGGTGTGCTCTTTGGGGTATTCAACCTCGTCTTCGCATTGGTGGTGGGAGTCTTTTTGATGCTGGTTAGGTGCGGTGTGGGCAGAGACTTTAAGACCCCAAACTTGGGTTTCTGTGATGGGTCAAAGGGCACTCGTGACGACCCAACTGGACTCACCAGCAAACTGCGATCAGTCTTCCTAAACTCTTCACCATGACATTAGGAAAAAAAGTTTAACACCACCGTTACAACAACAGTTAGGAAAAAAAGTTTAACACCACCGTTATTACAACACCAATTAGGACATTTACTTAGAATCAACGTTACTGTCCAAGTATGTTTAATTACGTGACTCTGGTACAGAGGCTCTGTGTGATTTGTAAGGCAACAAGAAAATAAAAATGTGTCCATTCAAAATAGGAATGTGTAATCAAACAGGAAAGAATAGGAAAAATACAAAATGTATTCAGTTTCCTACTACTGTTATTCTGGGGTTATTAACCTTATAGAATGTCAAACATCTGGAACACTGCTAGTTCAAAGATCAGTCTTGATCTTGAAAGCAGGAGATGATACATTCACAGCACAAGGATCTATTTAGGTGCTGCTCTGGCATTTTCAAAAGTGGAACAAAGTAGAAAAAATGGAATGTTGAACATCTACAATTGATCTACATTGTCTAAATTTACATATTTTTCTTTATAGATGTGTAGTCTATATTGTCTTAAAAGCTAATGCTCAGTTCAATCTGACGGATTTATACACTAGGTCAAAAAAAAAAAACCAAACAAAAAAACAAAATGTGAGGCGAACACATAAAAGCACAAGTGAAATTAATGCAACATTACAGAAGTAATGTCACCTTAACACTGAAACAATCAACTTATCAAACTCATAATTAAGATGTCTTAAGACTTGTGGTCTAAAATTCAAATTACTGGACCTCAGGCCTTTTAGGAACCTAGTAAACCCCAAAGATATTTGGTTTACTACTTTTTTTTCTTAAAGATATTTCCTGATAATCATCTAAATGTTGGCAATTCTGTTGAGCAACTTATCAAAGTCAAACTAAATACCTCACATCTTGATTGTACCAATGTCGGGGGCAGATTTAGTAATTTGGGAACCCCAGGAATGTACATGATGCATTGTCAGTCAGCCTAAAGACACCGAGATATGATTTTTGTTCTGCAACACCCAGCCCTAAGACAGGGCCTCAGACTCGCATCTGATTGTCACCACAGTAATTTAAATACCTGACTCTAATTTCACCTTTAAATGTATTGATAATCGTAGAGGTTCACATATTTTTGCCACAAACAAATTGTAAGATTGTACCATTTTCCTTAATAAATAAAAGTGTAATGATTGTTTCATTTTACCTAGTTTCATTACTTACATGAACATGTAACATTAGGTATTTTTTTATGCAGAACAATAAAAAATCCTTAGGGGTCAAACTTTTAAGCTATCACTGTGTGTCTCATTTATTATAAACATCCAACTACACTGAGTTTCTTACCAGCCATTTTATTGTTCTTGAGACCAAAGGTAACCTTCTTGAATTCTGATTTGGGAGTTTCAGTGCTGGGAGACCTCTGTGGAATAAAAACACAAAGTAGTTGTTACAAGTGGTTACAAGCTCCTTTCTGTGCCATTTCACCTCTCAGTAGCAACGGCTGTCTTGAGTTTCAGTTTGTCAGTTAAACAGCAGACAACGTGATTTTTATGGGGTGGAGCTCTGCAAGATGGCGCCGGTGTTTGTGGCTGGCCGTCTGCGGCTGTTGTGTTTGTGGTTTGTTTTAATACGTCTTTTACACTGTTTTTATAAAACCTCGTCTGCCTTGGTATATGATAGCCTTAGCCTTATTAGTATTAGGGCCTCAATGGAAAAGTTGCTCGTTTTTGAGCCGGGAAAGCCATCAAAGAGACTTCCTCCATTTCTAGCAGCTGTTCCACCCTATCTTTGCCATTCTCCCTGCGGTCTTCCACGGAGGAAATGCCGTAGATGGTGAAAGAGACGAGGGGTGTTGGTGAGGCTTAAGGCCTACCTGGGGCATTGCCCTGGCCCTGATTTTCACTTCTTTTTTAATGCTGGATATAATTTAAGTCGTGACCATCCCTTTATTTGGAATGTTCGTAGGGACTGCTACAGATGGCTCTGGTCCACTCATTGGCTTTTTACCAGCACGGGATTCAATGACATTCTATGAGGGGTGTAGCTCGGGCTAATTTGTGCCCGTTGGACCAGGTGTCGCATCTACCTGCCAGGCAGTTGACTGTAAGGATGGCTTTTATTAATGCTACATCACTAGCGAACAAGACTTTTATCCTAAAGGACGACTTCTCCACTCATGGCCTGGATTTTATGCTATTAACTGAGACTTGGCTGAGGCCTGGTGAATTGGGTAACCTTCTACAATTTTTAGAAATTGTTTTGATTGTTGGCAAATCACTATGGATGCTTATTCAGCTTTGAAATGCAGCTGTTTGTGATAAAGGTGAGCCCTCCTATTATGTGTGTGGCAGTTTATCGCCCCCCCTCCCCCTAAATTCAATCAGGATTTTATTTGTGATTTCTCTGACTTGCTGGAATCATGCCAAAATGACGACAATTTTAATTTTGGGGGATTTTAATGTTCATGTCTCCTGTCCAACGGACCCCATGGTTAAGGATTTTATCAACATTATTGACTCTTAATTTGACCCAGTTTGTGAGTGGGCCTACTCATGCTCAAGGTCACACTCTTGATGTCTGTCTGCGTGACTGATATTTGTGATGTGGGGATTTCTGATCACTTCCCTGTTTTACTCAATGCTACAATTTCTTACTGTATAACTACTTCTAGTATGCCTGCCCGGCGAGGTCGCTCAATTACTCCTAAGACAGCTGAATTATTTTCCGCTGCCTATAATGATTTACAGCCTCATATTTCTTTGGATGCTGTCATGAAACTGTAGATGAATCATTATCTTGGTTTAGCTCTACATGCACTGATATCCTTGACTCGCGTGCTCCGCTTAGGAATAAATGAGCCAGAATTAAGTCGGAACCTTGGCTTAAATGAAAACACTCGTTCACTTTAACTTTTATGTAGGCAGGCTGAGCGGGAGTGGAAAAAAAGATTATCTTCAGATTTCACTGGATATTTTAAAAAACCGATTAAGAGATTATCAAAGTGCTGTCAAGAGTGCTAGGGCTCAATATTTTTCCAGGCTTATTGTGAATAATTGTCATAGACCCAGGGTGTTGTTCAGCACCATAAATGCGGTCTTATATCCATCTACTGCTGCTTGGACGGATGTGTCCTCCGCTACTTGTAATGAGTTTCTTCAATTTTTTGTGGATAAAATTGTTAAAATCAGATCCCAGATTGATGACTCTGTTCTGGATCCTTCTGTTGCTCCTATATGCTCAGCTGTTTTCGACCAGTTTGAGCCTATTTCATTAGCTGCTCTTATGAAAGTAGTTCAGCTTGTGAAACCCTCTTATTGTCCTTTGGACATTATGCCAGCAGCTCTGTTTAAAGAGGTTTTTCATAGTATTGGTTTGTACAGGTTTTTTTTTTTTTTTTTTTTTTTAAGAGAAAAGTGGGATATTTGAAAAGTTCCAGTCTGGTTTTAAGCCACACCATAGTACCGAATCAGTGCTGTTGCAGGTATTTTGTTGACTGTGAATGAAGTAAATACTGCCATTTTGATTCTCTTAGACCTTTCGGCTGATTTTGACACAGTGGACCATCGTATTTTGTTGTCCCATCTGCAGCAGTCTGTAGGACTTCATGGTGTTGTTCTTAAATGGTTTGAATCATATTTGTCTGATAGGAGTTTTTCTGTACATATTGATGAATTCCCTTATTCTGTTGTTCCTCTGAACTGTGAGGATCTCAGGGATCCATCCTTGGGCCAGTCCTCTTTTCTTTGTATTTACTTCCCCTTGGACCAATTTTTATGAAATATGGGTCATCTTTTCACTGTTATACAGATGATATTCAAATTTATCTGCCATAGAATGTCAAGAAGAGCAACTCATTACAGACCTTGATGGACTGCCTGAGGGACATTAAGGCATGGTTATCACATAATTTCTTACATATTAATGAAGGTAAGACGACAGTGTTTTAATTGGTAGCTCTGGTGTCACTAATTCTGATGTTCCTAGCTCAGTCCATTGGCTTCCTGTTTGTTTTAAGATTTTAAATTGTTGATGTTTGTCTATAAGGCTGTACATGGTCTAGCACCTTCATGTACCTGAGCTTGTGCGTTTTTATGCTCCTGAAAGGACACTTAAGTCTTCTAACCTATACTGTGGAATGGTCTGCCACGGTATATTAGATCTGCTCTGAACCTGTTTTTAGATCACTTCTCAAAACGCATTTGTATTCACTGACTTAACAATTTTACTGACTGATGCATTTGTTTTTATTATGCATTTTTGCTGTCATTTTATTGTGCAGATGTGCTTTATCTGGTTTTATTGATTTTTTTTATGTTTTACTGTAAAGCACCTTGTAACGTAGGTTTAGAAAGGTGCTATACAAGTCACTCAAAGGAATGGAGCGTAGTAAATAAATACTTAAAATAAAGACAAGTGCATTTGGATAACAGCATATTCCTCTTGTTCTGTACCAAAGCAGATCTGAGATTACATCCCCAACAATGGGAATATTTTCCGTTTTTTTTTCCTCACTGGATTCAAAACGTGTAATGTGAAACATATCAAGACCACATGCCTCATTCATGAAACAAGGTAACCAGATTAATCCAGGTGCTTGTTTTTAAGTGAATTCTCAGACTTTGTCTGATTTAGTGCTTAGTACAGATAAAATAATCAGTATGAATCATATTAGGCGACTTTAATATTCATGTAGATGCCGACAATGACAGCCTCAACAATGCATTCTGTTCATTATTAGACTCAGTTGGCTTCTCTCAAAAAGTAAATAAACCTACTCACTGTTTTAATCACACTCTTGATCTTGTTCTGACATATGGCATCGAAACTGAACACTTAATTGCGTTTCCTCAAAACCCTCTTCTATCTGACCATTTTCTAATAACTTTTAAATTTCCATTAATGGATTATACTCTAATGTGGGAAACAGTTCCACTACAGTAGGTGTCTATCTGACAATGCTGTTACCAAGTTTAAGGAAATAATTCCGTCTTTATCTACTTCAGTGCCGTTTGCCAACACAATGGAGGGAAGCCACCTTAACTTTACTCCCACACAAGTCGATAATCTTGTTGATAGGACTGCAGCCTCCCTGTATAATACAATTGATATCGTTGCCCCTCTGAAAAGGAAGGCAATGAAACAGAGGAGGCTAGCCCCATGGTACAGCTCACAGTTCCACTCCCTAAAGCAGACATCATGAAAACTGGAAAGGAGGTGGCGCTCCGCTAAGTCAGAAGAGTTTTTCATAGCCTGGAAAGATAGTTTAATAACATATAAGAAAGCCCTTCATAGTGCCAGAACCGCATTTTATTCATCACTGATTGAGGAAAATAAGAACAACCCCAGGTTTCTTTTCAGCACTGTAGCCAGGCTGACAAAGAGCCACAGTGCTGTTGAGCTTAACATTCCCTTAGATCTCAGCAGCAATGACTTCATGAGCTTCTTTACAAATAAAATCACAACTATTAGAGAAAAAATTGGTCGGACCACTCCCACAGCTCTCACAGATGTGCCATCTACTACAATGGCTTTAGAAACATCTGTAAGACCTCATTTATACTTGGACTACTTCTCCCCTATAGATCTCTCTGAGTTGACCTCAACAATTGCTTCATCTAAATCATCAACATGTCTCCTGGACCCCATCCCGACCAGGCTGCTCAAAGACGTCTTTCCCCTAATCAACACATCCATACTAGATCTGATTAACCTCTCTCTATTAACAGGTTATGTTCCACAGGCTTTTAAACTTGCAGTAATTAAACCTCTACTCAAAAAGCCTACTCTTGACCCAGGTGTCCTAGCTAATTATAGACCAATATCCAATCGCCCATTTATTTCCAAAATCCTTGAAAAAGCTGTTGCAAAGCAGTTATGTGACCACTTGCACAAGAATGATTTGTTTGAGGATTGTCAGTCAGGATTTAGCGTCCATCATAGTACAGAAACCGCATTGGTGAAAGTCACCAATGATCTTCTCCTAGCCTCGGACAAAGGACTTGTCTCCATACTTGTCCTCTTAGATCTCAGTGCTGCTTTTGACACCATTGATCACAGCATCTTACTGCAGAGACTTGAACATGTTATTGGGATTAAAGGAACTGCACTAAGTTGGTTCAAAGCTTATTTATCAGAAAGATTTCAATTTGTTCATGTTAATGACGAATGTTCCACACAAACTGAAGTTAGTCACGAC